TTTTTCTTTTCTTTTTAAACATATACTCCTTTTCTTTCTTAGGCTTTTGTTAAAGTTGTTAAAAATAAAGCATATTTTAAAAGATATCAAGTTAAATCAAAGCGTCGACGACGTAAGTTTTTAATATCAATATATTCTTTTTGACTATTTTTTATTTTCAGAGGGTAAAACTGATTTTTATGCTCGTCATGCACTTATTCATCAAGATAAAAATAAATATAATACACCCAAATATCGTCTTATTGTTCGCATAACAAATAAAGATATTATATGTCAAGTAAGTATTTAAAAAAAAAAAAATTTCATAGTGCATATGATGATTTTAATATATTTCTGTCATCTCTTCTGAATATAAAAGAATGTCGAAAAACTTTTCTTACAAAATTCTGATGCACATAAAAAAATAAAATAAACTATTTATATATATATAGATATATATGTAGTTATTATTTAGATTGCATATGCACGTATTGAAGGCGACTATATTGTATCATCAGCATATGCACATGAATTACCACGTTATGGTGTTAAACTTGGTTTAACAAATTATGCTGCTGCTTATTGTACTGGTTTACTTTTAGCTCGACGAACATTACAAAAACATAAACTTGATAGTATATATAAAGGTACAACTGATGTAACAGGTGGTGAATTTGAAAATGAACCAGTCGGAAATGAAAAACGTCCATTTCGTTGTTATCTTGATGTTGGTCTAGCACGTACAACAACCGGTGCTAAAGTTTTTGGTGCATTAAAAGGTGCTGTTGATGGTGGATTAGATATTCCTCATAGGTAAAAAAACATAATAAGTTAGACTTAATATTTTTAATATATCATTGCTATTAATGAATGTTGTTACAAAAGGAAATGTATATTTTAAAAATGTATGAAATTTCCTATCGTCTTAATTTTCAATTATTTGATAACAAATATTTCGAATATTGTTAATGTATCCTTACTTTCGACTACTCCACGTAGTAGTCTATAGATAATTATTTACTTGTTAGTTCTGATCCTAATGTTATTCAAAGGTTTTTGTTTTCGATGAATCATTGTGCATAGAAATTTCATCCGAATTCTCAACCATACATGATCTAGAATGTGATACGTGAGTATCTTAACAATATTCGAAAAATTTGTCATTAAATGATAGAAAATTTTATGCTTAATTTTGTTACGAGAATTCTTTGCGCTATTAAAATATATAATTAATTTTATAAAAATATTCATTTATATATTGAAGATGCAAAATTTGATGAGATATAAGTTCATCGGAATGATGTTATGAAGAGTTCCACTTAAAATGGACATTTTTCGCCCCTTACTGATTTTGCTCTTCTTGAATAAATATAACTTTTTTATTTTTTTAAAGAATAAGTGTAAAAATTGATGAGATATAAGTTCATCGGAATCATGTTATGATGAGTTCCACTTAAAATGGACATTTTTCGCCCCTTGCTGATTTTACACTTTATTTATTTTACGTGCATATGATGAATATTCAATTTCTTTTTCTGTCATCTCTTCTGATTTTGATTTTGACGATAATTATTTCTGATGCACTTTATTTTCTGATCAAAAAAAAAAAAAAACCAACAACTATTGTCTTCTATTTTAGTACTCGACGTTTTCCAGGTTATAGTCGAGAAGGAAAAAAATTTGATGCTGATGTTCATCGTCAACATATATTTGGTTTACATGTTGCTAATTATATGACAACACTCAATGAAGAAAATCCAGATCTTTATGCCAAACAATTTTCACGTTTTATTAAAGCTGGTATTGCGCCAGGCTCGGTATAATTAATTTACTTTTTTTTTTAATAAGAAGCAAAGAAAATTTTATAAAATGTTGTTTGTTTAGTTTGAAGCACTCTATAAAGCTGCACATGCTGCTATTCGTGCTGATCCATCACCAGCACCGAAAAAAGAGAAGAAAACTGGTGCAGCTAAACCAAAACGGTAAATTATTTTCTTGAAATTTTGATTAGCATCAATGTACAATTCTTGATTTTTTTTGTTTTTTTTTTTAGATGGAATAAAGTTAAACTTGCTAGATCATCACGCAAGAATCGTGTACAACAACGAAAAACAGCTTTTCTTAAAACTATACAAGGTGATGATGCTTAATAGACGAATTTATCTATTGTTAACAATCGTATATAAGATCATTTATTGTAATGTTTTGTCGAAAGAATGTTATTGTCAACCGTTTATTCTAGTTTTCATTTCATTATCATTATTGACAGTTGATGAAAAAAAAAAAGAAAATAAAACCGAAGAAAAAACACTCAGTGATATTATAACTTTATTTATTTATTTGAATTGATGAATACTTTAAGATAAAAAGAAATATTTCATAAAAATTTCTAACAGAAGTAATATGAATATGAAGTAGTCAATGTTCTTTGCTTATCTATGAGGATATTATAGAAGATTTAACTTGTGTTGATTTATTCTTTTGTGTTATTCGACTGATAAAATTTAAAAAAACGTAGATTTTCCAAGGGGAAAACGGCAGACTTGAAGTACATCAAAGTACTTTAAAGTAGCTCAAAGTGCGTTTAAGTAGTGTAAACTACCTTCAAGTACAAAGTCTGCCGTTTTCCCCTTGAGATTTTCTTTGATTGTTCAGATTAACAATGTGTTCTATTAAACGAGGTTTAGCTATGTGTCGAAAAAAATACTCAATTAAATGATTATATTGACAAGAATGAACCCTTGCATGAACTGGTTCAGAATGAAACTATCAATAGCATTTATCATCCTCAAGTTTTATACGAAATCAAAGCTATTTGTTTTTGATTATAAATAGAAAAGAATACTTTACAAACTAAACGACTTTCGATAATGTATTTAATCTTTATTGTTTTTGTTTCGATATTAAAGTAATGAATTATTCACTTAGTGTTATATTGACATTTGTCTATATACTTTGAAGAATTTTTACATGGAAAAGCATCAAGTATCTACGAATTACTCGCAAATAACAAACAAAAAAAAATCAAGATGAAAAAAAAAACATTAAAAAATGCTTATTTTTCGTTATCCTTACTTACACAACTCAAAATGAGTTAGATTATGTCGGTTTGTATTCATTAGTTTTCGCCTTCAATTTATTTATTCTGTCAATATAATATTCGTGATAGAAAAAACACATTGTTTATTATACTGTGCCATATGTGACTTGTTTTTTTGTTGAATTATAAGTACCTAACATATATGATGCTGTCGAAGAGAAGAGAAAGAGAAAAATCAAGTACCATTTTTAGAAAAGTACTTACTTGACGTAGTGATGTCTTCAACTGAAGCAAGAATGTTATTTAGGTTGATCACAACATTCTGTCACTTCGAAAACTTTATTCATAGAAAAAACATACAATTGATTTGGCTATATCAAATACTTAAAGTAATTCACATCATATTTGATTGACATTTTCATTTTTTTTAATTCACTTTTTGAATAAATATGAAGTCTAGTTTCAAGATAACTAAATAACCAAAAACTCGAAGAATAGAGTTAGGCGAATACGATGAATGACCAATAATTTGAATTTTGTGTCTTACAGATAATTAACAATAACATCTTTCATATATGGTTAATATTATTATGATGAAAGTTAATACTAATTACTGTCTATAATGGTCTTTTCTTATGATTTACATTTATGATTATGTAAATTTCAATATCAAAAAGAGCGAAATTTCCTTCTCTCTTCTAATTAAGTTTAATTAATTTTTCAAAATTAACCAATTAAAACATTGACATGCTACATGGTGTTGCAATTAAGACGAATTGTTGTCAAGATATTTTCGAATAACGATATATTGACTAATAGTATCAAATAAAGTTTCTAGCGGAAGAAATGATTACTATAGTTGTGTCGCCACGTTTCAGAATCAATCCTTTTCGTGTAGTTCGGTCTAGTTAAATAGTTATAAGAAAAAGGGATGTGATCATACATGGTTTCTTTTTTCTAAAATGTTTTACAATAAAAGTGAATTTTTGCTTTGATGACGCAGCATTTCTTTGACAAGTATGACTTTTTTCAACAGTGATAACTTTATTTTGTGCTAAAATAGCTCCCAAAATTATTCGACCAGGCTTATTTAGCTACCGTAAATAGTAATAAGAATCCAAACAGTACTTGGTAAAAAGAATTTTATTCGCAATAAGAATTTTGACAGATGAAAATATTTGTAGTTTCTAATGGATAGGACCTCTGGAAAACCAACTTTTTCAGTTTCTGAAACTCATCAATAGAATTCTATTTAAATTGCTCATAATGATGGAACAAAAATAATTCTGTACGAAATGAAATTTCTTTCAGAAAAAATATTTTTACGCCTTCTGTAGAATTGATGTATCTCAGTCAAAAACCATCTTAGAGAATTGGACGATGTTACATTTTGTACACAATTGTTTGTTCTATCATTCTGGATAATTTTAAAAGAATTCTATCTGCAAATTTCACGAGTTGAAAGTCTTAGGTTTCGGTTTTTCAGAGATTCTCTTCATGAAAAAAACTAATTGTCATTTTGGGGTGTAGGTGTGATTAAAGAGATCTCTACACTCACACCCACTCACGCCTTAGTTTTCATTCGAGAACAACAAAATTCAATAAAACTTACATTGAATAAATTATACGAACGTGAGACATCGCTTTCTCATGTGTTTCTGTGTGTAAAATGAACTAATCTGACAGTCTCGTTAAAGTCAATTCAGAGAAAATAATTTCAGATTTATAGAGTTAAATAATAATTTAGAATAGTTGGAATAAAGATGCATATGTATGAAGAAAATAGTCTTTGCAATATTTTTGAAATGGAGTAATATGCTTTCTGTAAATAAAATTAACTTTTTAACAATTAATTCGTGTTGCATTTCTTGTAAAATTGTATTACTTTTTTCATCGTTTGATAATTGATATAAAGATAGACACCATTTGATAAACTTGATTTTGTATGAAGTAAAAATTCTTCAAGATAATCTTTGCGAGCCTATTGAAAACTAAGTTCAGCTAGATGAGAATATTTAATGATTGACAAATCTTGATTGTCATTATTTGATTCATTGCATAATTTGTTAATCTGTGGTTTTTCATTAATCAAAGTTAATTTCTCTAATAATGGCAATGATTGAGCAATTCGAAGAAAAAATTTATGTTCAAAAGGATGTTCATCCGATAATGATATTTCATAAACATATTTAAATAATCCATCTGAAATATTATTTGTTATATTCTTGTAATGCTTTCATTTATATGGATATGAATAAATATGATACTGACCTTCTTGTATCTTTGGAAAATAATTAACACAAGAGACAATCTGATTATCTTTAAATTCTTCAAATGTATGTTGAATATCTTCATTTAATAGTAAATCAATTTGATTATAAAGACGAATGTTTGAGTTAATATTAAATGTAAATTTATTTAATCGTGGCATGCGTTTCATAATATTTGACTTCAACTCATTACTATTAACTAATATTTTTCTGCCATAAACTATAAGATATAAATCAAGTTTTTCCATATTAGACATTCGATGTAAAAGTGGCATAATTAATTAATCATAAACATTTGTATTAGTATTACAGTGTAGCAAAAAAACATCTTAAGTTAGACAACTTTTCCTAGAAAAAAAACCAATCTTATTAATTTATTTCAATGAATTAAATATCCATTAAAAATAATCTACTTCATTACTGATTGTTTGACATGGATACACAATGGAACCAATATCGAGAAAAAGAGTGCGCAGTTGATTGAAATGTCCGTCAGATAAAGACAATCAGTGAAATAATCCAAAATAACATGTAATTCGAGGAAAGTTGAAGAGGACATGATAAATGATAATTCTTGATAATAAATTAAAGATGGACCGAGAGTTATATATTGTAAATTCGTGAACATAGTAAAGATGTCTTCAAATATAAGTTTCGTCATGTTTGCAGTTGAATTTTGCTTTTCATTTTTAGTAATATCGATAATAAATGATGTAATCTGATTTTGGAATATATGGTTTAAAATTTCATCTAATAAGAATACAAATCTTGAGAAAACAAATCGCATTATTTTTACTACTGATCATAAAATATCATTATTGTGATGAGACAAATGATAATCTAGTAAAAGTGTGTCCAAAAACCGAGAAAGAATGGTCCTGGGACGGGTGAACAACTTCTTTCATATTAAATGGTGGAACGCTTTTTCATGATGGAAAACACCAGCTATAATCTTACCATACATTCACGGCGGAAAACCTACTATAGGAATACCATCCAGTTTAGACGAACAACAAACAGAGTTGTAGGAAATGAAATAGAGAAATACACAAAAGACCAAAAAGCACAATAACTAAAAACACAAACATTGAGAACTACACAAAAACATGGGTATATAAATCAGACATTTCAGACTTTACATATACTTGCAGGTAAATTATTCGCGATTGAATCATGTTTGTCGGACAGTTATCTTTTGTAGATGAGTTATTGTACTATCGATCAGACTGTTACCCTCAGACCGCAAGCAGCTCTGGTTACAGTAATCGTCGTCATACCTTATAGCTTATTATAAACAGACTTTAGTCACTAAATTCCAACGTTTTGTTTTTCCAACCACAATTTAGCACAAGCTTTCACATGTGCTGTGGCGTTCTGTACCTTCAGCAATCTGCTACAATTTTCCTTTGGACACATAGATTCATTTTTATTATTTTTTCTTTCCGTATAGCATCACCCCATGTAGAAAGAAATACGGACAAAAATCGGATTGCAATTGATAAAAAAATTGATTTTAATCGATTAGAAACTGACTAAGAACCAATTGTGAAATGATTATAAGTCACTGTAATCAATTATTATCGACTCTGCATTGGTATGAGTAGTGTTTCGATTATTCTAACTGTGTTGATTTTTTTATGCACATTCATTTGAAATTAAAGGAGAGACATAAGTTAATAACGGGTATTTTAGAAAAAAAGAATTTTGTATTAAGAACAGATAAAACAAACACAAAATAATTTGTTGAAAAGAACGACGTTCATTATATTCCTTTCTAAGAAAGGACATAACAAATAAAGAAAAAATTGGCGGGCAAAACAAGCTTAATCATATTCCTTTCTAACACAGGAGACAGGCAGCTGATAAACAGACTTTTGAAGAGATAATAAGTATGATCATTTTTCTTTCTAAGAAATGAAAGAAACAGTTATAATACAGGTATCTCGGAGAAAAGAAATCTAATTACATTTCTTTTCTAAGAAAGGAAGTACACAATTGAAAAAACAGACTTTTGAAAAAAAACAAATAGGCGGATGTGGGTGTGGTTATGAGCGTCTGATGATAGAGAGAATATCGACATCTACACCCCCACAACCATCCATCCGTATCTACCCTCACACCCACACACGCACGCCTACATAACCTCAAATGGTTACTGTTATTTATATATAAAATCACATATCAGGTTGTTCTATTATTCAAATGTAATAATTAATCAACTGTTCCTTTTTAAAAAAAAAACAATAGTATAATCAATCATTTGAAACTTCAATATCAAGAAACTTAATCATTATTAAAAAAAGAAGTATAAAAATATTTAGTCATAAGCTACTAATGAATTCTAAATATCTCAAGAGACTAAAAATTTATATTCATTATTAAAATATTCGAAGTTCAAATCGTTACATCATATGGATAGGATAATCATCAAAAAAAGCAACTAAATATTTTTTTTTTTTATTGATCCAGATACTTTTTGACTGTCTGATTAAACAATAAAAATACTGAATTGAAGCAACTTTTTTTGGAAAATAACTACTAATACGGTGATTATGAGGATTTTTAGTGTGTGTAACCATTGTTTTAGTTAAAAGATAGAAAACTAATACAACGAGATACATGTTTGAAATAGGTTTTTATCGTGAGTTTAACAGGTCGAGTTAAAAGCTTTTTTTAACATAATTGATATGCATTCTTCTATCAACTAGCTAATCCTGTGAGTAATCCAATACATTCTTAACATCATTTTGTGGCTAAAAATAAAATAAGTTCAATCAGTTCGTTTAGTATTCTCATGTGATTATTCCTTTTTAATTTGATGCAGACAAGAAGAGAAAACATGTTTCTGTTTACATTGCTTGATGTTTCATTATATTTGATATTTCTTATGTAAGTCTACAGCATTTTTATTCTATTGTTTTTATTAAACTACTTATTTCAAAGATTTTAAATAGATCACATGTTTGCATACTCCTCATACGTGTATCACTCACGAGTTTACGTCTAATCTTAGATTCAGATTCTTATCAATGCACTGAGAGAGTTCAATGGCATTTCAATTAATAAAACTATCAGTTAATTACTTAAGATCGAACCCAAGAAGTTATCGACGATATTATAAACAAAAAACGATTTAATGGAAAACTGTTCATAACTTTGTGGATTCGTACTGAATCTATCAGATGACGATTGTATTCATTGAAATGATGTTGATCTATAGAATGTTTTAACTTTTAACATAAATATCCCTCTTAATTCGAGATTGAACATAATCTCAGTTTGGACGTAAAACATATCTAAGTCATCGTGAAATTGATAGTTGTATATCATGTATCGATCGATTCTGTTAATAGATATTGCTTCTGAATTATAAATATGAAAATATTCATAATTCATTATCAATATAAAGTTGAGATAAACCTGAAGACTTGAATATCAAGAACGCAAACTTAATGTTTAATCCATATGCTAAAATAATCAATCTTCAAAATGTCATAATTATTAAAATATAGCAGTAGTATCGATTCAGATATGTTAGGTAAATATATTCGTATAACCAATTAAATGCAAATTCAAAGAAATGATTTATTATTTCATAGAATGGTAATATTGATTAGATAGCTGCTTTTTATTATTTTAGATTAATGAATACATTAATATCATTGAGAATATTGTATAGATAAATATACTTTTTTGATATGTCGGTACTTGTATGTACTTCTGTAGAGCAGAACCATGCATTTTCCCTACGGCATTAACTTCAAGAATTTTTTTTAACTATAGATGAACACTTGTGTTTATTCTTTTTCATCTTTCGAAGATTAGAAAAAACATTCGAGCATAACTTAATTAATCTCTTATAGAAATTGCTTGAATATCTTTTTTTTTTTAGTTTGAACTTCATTTTAGCTACTAACTTTGTTAAAATGAAATGTGATTATTAAGTTAAAACTAAATTTTAAATTCAATAAATCGACAATACAACATTTGTTTTATTATTGATTTTCGATTGAAAAATAAAAAATCAGAAATACATCATACAGCAACAAAACAAAGATCTGTTATTGAGAAAGAAACATATTTATATTGATATTTAAATCAGACAGATTGTTTATTCCCAAACCAGAATGATTCAACTAGACTTTTTATCTGTGCCGTATAACTCTAAAATCAATACAATAAACAAATTGAAATGATTTTCAAAAGAAAAAAGAAATGACAAACTTTTGTTTGTTCAGTTATTTTAACTGGTTGTGGATGAGCATCAAGACATTTTTGATAACGTAACTATATGAAATATATATAGAAAAGAAAATATAATCCAAAAACAACCAAAAGAAAAATATTTGAATTTACTTTACAAGCAGCTTCTATATTTTTACATAGTTGAATACATGATGGTTGACAATAAAATACATGACATTTAAATGAATTATCTGCACAATGAATAATTATTCCACAAAAACTATCAACGAGAAAGACATATTTACAAACTAAAGATTAAAATTAACTCACCGAATATCTTGTCCAATACCAAGAAAGGAAAGATAACGAATACGACAATCGAGTAACTGTTCTTTTGAATCCTACAAGAAAAGAAACACAATAAAATAATGAAAAAAAAGCCTTTTAAAAAATTCGACATACATCATCTGAACAAATTACAATTGATGTTGGTGAAATTTTAACTATAACTGAAATCCATCTATCATCTGGTACTGTCGTTGTTATTTTTTCAATTGCTTGTCGCAATATATCAATTCCACCTGGTTTGTCAACATATGTGCAACCTAAATATTTACATGATAAATTATTCTTTTGTTCTTCCATTGGTGTTGGAAATTGTGCTAAAATACAAAAAAAGTCATTTAATTTTAATACAATAAAAGACTTTATATTTTTACTATTTGTAATATCATTCTCAATTGAATCAGGAAATGATGTTGGTCTATATAAGATAATTTGGAAAGTTTACATAAAAAAATTTCTTTCCTTTTTTTTTTTCTAAATTTACCGTTTTTGTATTAATACTCCATCATTTGAAATTTCCGTTTTATGATTTAATAAACCACGTTCAATCATTAGGTTTTTACATACATCACGTAAAGTATTTGCAATTATTCTTGCCGATGTATTATCACAACGAAATACATGACATTTA